ACAATTGTGATGCTAGCAAAGAAGACAGATTTAAAATGTCAGACAACTTACTCGTCGGTGAGGTTGCAGCCACAAGGTGTTTCAGAAAGAACGTAGAGAAGTTCGAACTTGTGTTCAGTATAAAAACAAAAGGACGGGGACATTGGGCTTGTTAAAAAGCGACAGATACCTTCGTTAAAAGTTCAGAAAAAATAAAAATTATATCAATACACCCGCACAAGCTAAAGATATTACACGTGGGGAGACATTTTGTTGAAGCAATCGGAATGCAGTCCCGAACCTTCTACTACCGCTACACGTGGAGAGGGGGAAAGGCACGGAACGGTAAAGCGTCGACAGAAGACAAGTGATTGACGCGACGGAACGTGGAAATGTACACCTCCCTGTCCAACTTTGGGTATGAAGTATACGAGGGACGCTCGGTAAATCTCCACCCAAAATTACTAAAATGCTGGAATAACTTGTTTTGGAAAAGAGTGTGTGGTTCATATGAGTGCAAGAATGTGTGATATTGATACAACCTTGAAAAGATGGGTTATGTTAGTTTATATTAAAAATGTGAGTGAGAAAATGTATTCTAATTTTGTGAAGATGTTGGATCAATTTGGACATGTAGCCGTTCTAGCTTTTCGCAATTCAACAGGTAGGAATAAATGACACTGTGCTGCTTAACATCAGCCTTTTTATTCATGCAATGATCTGTCATGAAAATGTGGGACATTTCTAAAAATAGACGTTTTGAGAGTCTTTTTTCTTTATCAAGAACCTCAATACTGCCATAATTCATAGAGTGACCTGTGTTGTTATATGCGACGCCACAGCACATCTTTCTGGATGTAATCTGGCATCACTTTTGTGTGACGTTATCCTGCCTTTCAGCGACCTAGAAGTTTGGCCTATATAAACTAAATTGCAGTTGTTGCAATTAATACGATAGACAGTATTGGTTGAATCAAGCAACTGAACCTTATCTTTCATTTTGGACAACAAACTGTTGACTGTGAGAACTGATTTACGAGCAAAACGATAATTAAAGGGATTATACAGCCTGATCAATTTTGGTTTGTTAGTTCTTTGATGTATGGCAAGACAACATAGTTAACTCTGGAAGTAGGAGCAACCACTGTAGTGCTGTTGTTCTCGTGAGTTGAAGAAATAATGGGTATCTGGTTTGATTGACCCGTGTTGTCATTTTCACTATTGTTATTAGTGATTGGAGAGCTGAACAAGATTCTGTTAACCAAATACTTAGGATAGCCATTTTTAATAAATAAGACTGAAAGCTTCCTTAAATTGGAAAGATGGAAAGTACTGTCAGAGATTTTTATAACCCTGTTCTTCATTTGTTTCACCAGGTTTATTTTTATTTTAAGTTCATGGTAAGACCTGAAGTTCAGGAACCTTCCGGAAGAAAGTGGTTTCCTGTACCAGTCTACCAGTAATAAATTTTCATTGGTACGAATCAATCTTGAATCCAGAAAGGGAACAGATTGATTGTCATCTTCTTTTTCGATGGTGAACTGGATGTAAGGATCATAACTGTTAAAAACCTCAACAATATCATCCACCCTATCATAGGGAAGACAAACGATTATATCGTCCACATACTTTTTCATGAAAATTAGATTGTATGGCAATACTTGAATAACAACATCAAGCAGGTCATCCATTACATATTCTTCCAAAATTGGAGATAAAACAGAGCCCATGGGGCAGCCATGTGTTTGTGAAAACACTTTGTTATTAAAGGTAAAGTAATTGTTCTGGAAAAGGTACTCTACGATATTGATGAAAGAATCCAGAGTTAGGTTGCTGTGTTGGCAAATTAGATCCCAATGTTTGTTGATGGATCTGATGCAAGCTTCTAAATACACATTACTGAACAGTGAAACTACATCTAAACTCGCAATAACATCAACAGGGGGTATTTCAAATCTATTAAATTGTTGACAAACATCAAAAGAGTCTTTTATAAAGTATTCTCCTTTGATGTGAGCTGACTTTAGAGTATCTGCAATTAATGAAGATAAAGCTAGTGTGGCTGATTCAACAGAAGCTACAATCGGTCTTACTGACAGTACCGGTTTGTGTATTTTGGGAAGAGCTTAAAATTTTGGAGAGACATTGCAACCTTTCTCTACTTTAGATGTAGGGTCTTTATTGATAACCTTGTAAGAGGGATCATTATCAATCAAATTATTACATAGGTCAAAATATTGTTGTCTTAACATGATTACGGTAACATTGCCTTTGTCTGATTTTGTAACAATTAACTCGGGATGATCCTTAATAAATTTCCTTGTTTTATTTAGCAGGTTATGGTAGAAAGAGTTTGTAAAAAAAACTTCACTCATCCCTTGAACTTTTGAAAACTGAAATCATTTCACTCACGTCCCTCTTAATTTTTAATAATTTTCAATCGAGACAATTAAGACATTATAATACATTGTTCCATTCTATAAGAAATTCGAATATACGTAAGTTTGACAGGTTCCTAAGTGACACAATGAAAATTTTGCTGAACACTCTTCCAAACTGGGTAAAGAACTTCAGTAATGTCAGCATTCCAGATGATATCACAAGTTTTCTATCGTTGGGTCCAAAATTTAGTGTTGAACCATTTGTCAACAGTGACATTGCAATCAGACATATTCTGGCTGATGTTGATTCTATATCTTCTTCCATTAGTGATGACACAGAAAGGAACATTGCGATAACTCGTTCCACCAATATTATCACAAATTACTTTCACAACAGTAGCATCAACAAAAAACACTCTTTCTACCATAACCTGCTAAATAAAACAAGGAAATTTATTAAGGATCATCCCGAGTTAATTGTTACAAAATCAGACAAAGGCAATGTTACCGTAATCATGTTAAGACAACAATATTTTGACCTATGTAATAATTTGATTGATAATGATCCCTCTTACAAGGTTATCAATAAAGACCCTACATCTAAAGTAGAGAAAGGTTGCAATGACATTGTTAACAGGCTACTCAGCACTGGTCAAATCAACCAAGACCAAAATAAGTACTTAATCACTTATAATTCTGTCTCTCCAAAATTTTATGCTCTTCCCAAAATACACAAACCGGTACTGTCAGTAAGACCGATTGTAGCTTCTGTTGAATCAGCCACACTAGCTTTATCTTCATTAATTGCAGATACTCTAAAGTCAGCTCACATCAAAGGAGAATACTTTATAAAAGACTCTTTTGATGTTTGTCAACAATTTAATAGATTTCAAATACCCCCTGCTGATGTTATTGCGAGTTTAGATGTAGTTTCACTGTTCAGTAATGTGTATTTAGAAGCTTGCATCAGATCCATCAACAAACATTGGGATCTAATTTGCCAACACAGCAACCTAACTCTGGAATCTTTCATCAATACCGTAGAGTACCTTTTCCAGAACAATTACTTTACCTTTAATAACAAAGTGTTTTCACAAACACATGGCTGTCCTCCGAATATTTTGCCAATCACTAATAACAATAGTGAAAATGACAACACGGGTCAATCAAACCAGATACCCATTATTTCTTAAGCTAATGAGAACAACAGCACTACAGTGGTTGCTCCTACTTCCAGAGTTACCTATGTTGTCTTGCCATACATCAAAGAAATAACACCAAAATTGATCAGCCTGTATAATCCCTTTAATCGTCGTTTTGCTTGTAAATCAGTTCTCACATTAACAGTTTGTTGTCCAAAATTAAAGATGAGGTTCAGTTGCTTGATTCAACCAATACTGTCTATCGTATTAATTGCAACAACTGCAATTTAGTTTATATAGACCAAACTTCTAGGTCGCTGAAAGGCAGGATAACGTCACACAAAAGTGATGCCAGATTACATCCAGAAAGATTTGCTTTGGCGTCACATATTAACAACACAGGTCACTCTATGAATTATGGCAGTATTGAGGTTCTTGATAAAGAAAAAAGTCCCTCAAAACGCCTACTTTTAGAAATGTCCCACATTTTCATGACAGATCATTGCATGAATAAAAAGGCTGATGTTAAGCAGCTCAGTGTCATTTATTCCTACCTGTTGAATTGCGAAAAGCTAGAACGGCTACATGTCCAAATTGATCCAACATCTTCACAAAATTATAATACATTTTCTCAGTCACATTTTTAATATAAACTCACATAACCCATCTTTTCATGGTTGTATCAATATCACACATTCTTGCACTCATATGAACCACACACTCTTTTCCAAAACAAGTTATTCCAGCATTTTAGTAATTTTGGGTGGAGATTTACCGAGCGTCCCTCGTTTACTTCATACTCAAAGTTGGACAGGGAGGTGTACATTTCCACGTTCCGTCGCGTCAATCACTTGTCTTCTGTCGACGCTTTACCGTTCCGTGCCTTTCCCCCTCTCCACGTGTAGCGGTAGTAGAAGGTTAGGGACTGCATTCCGATTGTTTCAACAAAATGTCTCCCCACGCGTAATATTTTTAGTTTGTTCGGGTGTATTGATATAATTTTTATTTTTTCTTAACTTTTAACGAAGGTATCTGTCGTTTTTTAACAAGCCCAATGTCCCCGTCCTTTTGTTTTTATACTGAACACAAGTTCGAACTTCTCTACGTTCTTTCTGAAACACCCTGTGGCTGCAACCTCACCGACGAGTAAGTTGTCTGACATTTTAAATCTGTCTTCTTTGCTAGCATCACAATTGTGTTTTCAGAATCCTGATGATGGCTCAATAGAGAATGCCGAAAGCTTGATTTTATCGTCAAAACAGTCAACTTAAGCCTAAAAGTTTTGCCAATTTACCAACTAACAAGTAATTGTATATATATATATACAACTAACTGTAAATTGTCTTCCGCTGTTATTGAAATCAAAAATACAGGTTTAGACGACGACAAAAGGCTTATCCACCCTGACACTAAGGAACTAGCTTACAACCCAACTTACGATGAACTATTTGCTCCTGTGGTAGGACCTGTGAACCCATTCAAGACACAGCAACAAATTATGGAACGCAACATACTCTCTGGGTATATCGAACCTGCTCATGTCAGTGAATTTCAATTTGAAAATCAGCGTAGAACATTTGCAAGCTATGGGTATGCTTTAGACCCTTCAGTTAGTGAAACTGGGCAGACTGGAGTCGAGGGGTCTACAGATGAAGGAAAAAATCCAGATGCTATCAAGACCGTATTTGAGCATTCTAAAACACGGCCTTTGGATAAGCGAAAACGTATATATATATATACTGCAAAAATACAATTAATTGGTAATTGGGAAATTGGCAAACTTTTTAGGCTTTAGTTACTGTTTTGACGGTAATATAGCTTTCAAGAATTGTCTATGGAGCCTTCATCAGGAGCTGGAAACACAATTACTCGTATAATGCTAACAACCAATACGGGAAGGATTTAAATTGTCAAACAACTTACTCGTCGTTGAGGTTGCAGCCAAACGGTGTTTCAAAACGAACGCGGGGATGAGAGCACTTGTTACAATTATAAAACCAATCGGACGGACACATTGGGCTTCTTGATAACGACGGATACCAACGTTAGGTGTTAACACTCCAAATCAATACACCCGAAACATATTAAAAAAAAATTATAACAAAAAAAAACTGTCAAAACGTCTATTTCTAGAAATATAAATTAACACAACCCATCTTTTCAAGCGTGTATCACTATCTTACAATCGTACACTCATATGAACTACACTTTTTTCCAGAACAAATTAAATTCAGCACTTTGGTAATTAGGATGAGGTTTTACCGAGCGTACCTCGTATACTTTATGCCGAAATTTGGCAATGATGTTTACAGTTCCACATTCCGTCGCGACAATCACATGTCATCTGTCGCCGCATCATTTTCCGTTCCATCCATCTTCTCCACGTGAAGCGGATGTAGAAGGTTAGAAACGACGTTCCCGGTGTTGTCCACAAAATTGCTTCTCGTCATAAAAAAAAATTTAATATGTTTCGGATGTATTGATTTGCAGTGTTAACACCTAACGATGGTATCCGTCGTTATCAGGAAGCCCAATGTGTCCGTCCGATTGGTTTTATAATTGTAACACGTGCTCTCATCCCCGCGTTCGTTTTGAAACACCATTTGGCTGCAACCTGAACGACGAGTAAGTTGTTTGACAATTTGAATCTTTCCCGTATTGGTTGCTAGCATTATAATTGTGTTTCCAGCTCCTGATGAAGGCTCCATAGAGAATTGCCGAAAGCTAGAGATTACCGTCAAAAGAGTTAGCTAAAGCCTAAAAAGTTTGCCAATTTCCCAATTAACAATTAATTGTATTTTTGCCCAACTTGTCGTTGGGAATGGCAACGAATGCTGCTCAGATACATATATATATAGGTGAAAAATTAAAGCTTCCGCCTTTTGTTGGGTACTTCGACAAGATTTAAGCAAAGAGGACTCTTTATACTTTTTTTAATTCTCTCTAGCTTTCAATGGACTTTGCCATCATCATCAGGAGCTGCAATTACAATGATAACAGTAGCAACAAAGGTGTAAAATGAATTTAAATTGACTCAACTTACAGTAGTATGTGAGGATGTTGCTAATTGTTGTTTACGTATAGGATGAGGGAAACGTCCAGTAACATGGTGAGAGCTGGATAGATTGTACAATAGTCAAACTTATATAAAATATGACAAGAACAAGTTAAAAACAGATTAAAAATTATTTAAAAAATTAGAGCATTACATCGTGAAACCACCTGATGATTGCACAAATTAGTGGTCATGGAATGATGAATTGATGAGTGACATGAGACCCTTTGACAGAAGGCCGAAGGATGTCAATGTCAGTATTGAAAGATGGAACGAATTGTGGGCGTGTGCCAAAACGTTGCCAAATCACTTCAGATGATGAGATTTTCAGAATTTTATGTTAGAATTTGTTAAACCGACCAGAGGCAGTTGAATAAACTATATTATTATTAATGGGAATTTAAATTAACAATTATTAATAAATCGTGAGGAGAGAATTATTATATTTTGAGTGGAATGAAATTTACTGGTGGAATCGGCCAAAACACAGATTCTAATTATGGTTGTGAAGAGTTGAAATTTGGGGAGATATGTAAGTTCTCCAATTTTTCGCAGTTTAGCAAATATGAGTAAATGACACTCAGTTGTTTAACATCTGTCTTTTTGTTGATACAGTTGTTATTCATGAAAATGTGGGACATTTCCAGGAATAAACGTTTATAAAGGTGTTTTTCTTTATCAAGAACTTTGATACTTGTGTAATTCATAGAATGCCCTGTTGTGTTAACATGAGATGCTAGAGCGCATCTTTCAGGATGAAGCCTAGCATCACTTTTGTGTGATGTAATCCTTCCTTTAAGAGATCTGGAGGTCTGACCTATGTATATTTGGTTGCAGTTGTTGCAATTGATGGAGTAGACTGTGTTGGTTAAGCCAAGCAGCGGGACTTTGTCTTTCATTTTTGAAAAAATGCAGTTTATAGTGAGGACGGATTTGCAAGCAATTCGAAAGTTCAAAGGACTGCACAATCTGATCAGCTTAGGGGTCAGTTCCTTGATGTAGGGCAGGACAGCAAAACCAGGTCTGGAGTCCGGGTTGGTGCTAGTACTGTTAGGATTGATGTTATTATTGGGAATTACATCAGTTCCGTTATTAGGGGTTGTGCGACTATTACCTGCATCACCAGAGTTCGGCAAAATATTGGAAGGTGAACTAAACTCCAGACCTGGTTTTGCTGTCCTGCCCTACATCAAGGAACTGACCCCTAAGCTGATCAGATTGTGCAGTCCTTTGAACTTTCGAATTGCTTGCAAATCCGTCCTCACTATAAACTGCATTTTTTCAAAAATGAAAGACAAAGTCCCGCTGCTTGGCTTAACCAACACAGTCTACTCCATCAATTGCAACAACTGCAACCAAATATACATAGGTCAGACCTCCAGATCTCTTAAAGGAAGGATTACATCACACAAAAGTGATGCTAGGCTTCATCCTGAAAGATGCGCTCTAGCATCTCATGTTAACACAACAGGGCATTCTATGAATTACACAAGTATCAAAGTTCTTGATAAAGAAAAACACCTTTCCAAACGTTTATTCCTGGAAATGTCCCACATTTTCATGAATAACAACTGTATCAACAAAAAGACAGATGTTAAACAACTGAGTGTCATTTACTCATATTTGCTAAACTGCGAAAAATTGGAGAACTTACATATCTCCCCAAATTTCAACTCTTCACAACCATAATTAGAGTCTGTGTTTTGGCCGATTCCACCAGTAAATTTCATTCCACTCAAAATATGATAATTCTCTCCTCACGATTTATTAATAATTGTTAATTTAAATTCCCATTAATAATAATATAGTTTATTCAACTGCCTCTGGTCGGTTTAACAAATTCTAACATAAAATTCTGAAAATCTCATCATCTGAAGTGATTTGGCAACGTTTTGGCACACGCCCACAATTCGTTCCATCTTTCAATACTGACATTGACATCCTTCGGCCTTCTGTCAAAGGGTCTCATGTCACTCATCAATTCATCATTCCATCACCACTAATTTGTGCAATCATCAGGTGGTTTCACGATGTAATGCTCTAATTTTTTAAATAATTTTTAATCTATTTTTAACTTGTTCTTGTCATATTTTATATAAGTTTGACTATTGTACAATCTATCCAGCTCTCACCATGTTACTGGACGTTTCCCTCATCCTATACGTAAACAACAATTAGCAACATCCTCACATACTACTGTAAGTTGAGTCAATTTAAATTCATTTTACACCTTTGTTGCTACTGTTATCATTGTAATTGCAGCTCCTGATGATGATCGCAAAGTCCATTGAAAGCTAGAGAGAATTAAAAAAAGTATAAAGAGTCCTCTTTGCTTAAATCTTGTCGAAGTACCCAACAAAAGGCGGAAGCTTTAATTTTTCACCTAACTGGTCTAGACGACAATGACCACATCTCAAGTTACATATATATATATATATATATATACAGGGTGACTTTGAAGTTGAGTCATCAATTTTCAGATAATGATTGTAGAAGGAAGATAAACCAAAATATGTGTGTAAAAATAAAAAAAAAAAATGTTACCTTGTTTTATAAAGTGTCGTCCCGACAAGTATTTCAGTGCGGACCTGTATTTAATCGTGCGGTCTTGGAGCACTGGCATGCCCTCCCCTGTGAGGTCTTAAGTCACCTGATTTACGAGCCCTTTGTACTACATTAACAAAGGCACGAGGGGTTGGTTGCACTCGATTGGGAAACCGATCCGCATAAATCCGCGTTGCCGCGGCAGCATTTTGTAAATAAGAATCATGTCCACAAGTTCAGCATTTTCGTAAACATGTGCCATTTTTTATTTCGTTTGAGCCACGCAACAAACACCACTATCCACTCACGCGTTACCGACTGACACATTGACTGAATACAACTGAATAAAATTGTAGTAAAAACATCGTGATAGCGTTTCAAATTCTTTCGCTTTTTTTGTTTCCGATGCGATTAACCGATAAGGCGGATTATATTCGTTGTTTCCAAACACGAGCACATAATATTATTATTGAGTCAGGGCGGTACTCAAACTTCTAAAGGGCTATAACTTTGTTACTTTAATTTTGCCACAAAAATGTTAAAGGAAAAAACATTTCTTTTGATCAGATCTACTCACTGTTAAAATAAATGACTCAACTTCGAAGTCACCCTGTATATATATATATATATATATATATACGAGTCGCTTCCCACTTCCCAACTATTGAAATCTTAGTTTTTTTCTTATCAAACACAAATAGTAAAAATGTAGCAGGGTGTTATAGGTTTAGTTTCATTTCAATGCAAAATAAGTCTATAACGCATAGGTGGCTGTGAAAAATAAAAGCCATGACAATTGTTTTTATTAATCACAGCTGTCAGAATACGTTTAAAATAGTTTTGGGTAGTTAAGGTTTTCAAAACGGGTAGAGGAAAGGTTATTAGTGAGAAAATTCGGTTACTGATAATTAATTTTTTTAATTCTGGGAAATCAAACTCAGAAATTGCAACTTTGTTAGACTTATCGCGGTACAGTGTGAGAAATATTGCTAGAAGATATAACGTAACTGGTTCAGTTAATATTAAGCCACGATATGTGAAAACAAGTAATATCACAAATGCCGACCGAAGAGCATTAAGAAGAATAATCGTGAAAAACAGGAGTGCCAATTATTTACAATTAAGTGCTCTGTGGAGAGACGCTGTTGGAAGGAGAATTTTGAGGTACACAACTCATAGAGAGGCCCACAAGCTGGGATTTAGTACTTGCAAGGTAAGTTTTCTTATAAAAAAAGTGAAGTAAAAACCCTAAAGTTGCACAACTTGTTTATAGGCCAAAGAAAAGCCACTATTAACTCCACTGCAAAAGAAAAATCGGCTTAGATGGGCTAAAGAACATAGACAATGGTCACATCAACAATAGTGTGCAATACAATGGAGTGATGAGGCCCGATTCGAAGTTTGTGTTGGTGACAGTCGCAGTAGAGTTATTCGCAAAAAAATTGACGCATTCCATGTTGACTGTCTGAAGAGAAAAGTGAAATTTCCAGCATCCATTATGGTCTGGGGCAGTATGTCATCAAAAGGAGTAGGAAAACTTCATTTTATTGATGGAAATGTGGATACAAACAAATATTTGTCAATTTTAGAAGAATCGCTTTTACCAGTGATGGAAGCATGTTTGACATCCGGCCAAGATTTTGTGTTTCAGCAAGATGGTGCAGCGTGCCATACCTCAAAAAAGGCTATAAAATGGATGGAAGAAAATAAATGTACCACTTTTGAAATGGGTTTCTAGCAGTCCAGATCTGTCACCTATTGAAACTTTGAGGCACGAGATGAAAAAGGTTCTACGACAACATCCTGTTCGTACAATCACCGAACTGAAACAAAAGCTTCAAGAAATATGGGATTATTTTACACCAAATTTTTGCCAAAACTTGGTTAACACTATGCCCCAAAGAATTTCAGCCGTAATAAAAAATAAAGGTGATGTTACCCAATGGTAATCTTTCAATTGTTGCTTTGTTAACTTCGCGCATTTATTCGCACATTGTTTATTTGTTCAGATGTTCTATTAGTTATAGGTCTAAGTGATTTCAAATATGTATTTTTTTACGACTAGAATGTATCTAAAATGTTTTTGAGAAAATAAATTGTTTTAGAAGTAAATAGTTTCGTGATGGTTTGTTTATAAGGGCACATTTTGGTACAAATCTTGAAGTGGGTCAATTGAAGTGGGAAGGGGCTCGTATATATATACGAGTATATACAATTTTGCCTACTTTATCCCTTTTCTGTAAGTCCTGATTCTTTCACCTTAACCATATTTATAGAGTGGTAATTAGTTCATTAGATTTGTTTGTTTTACATCGTGAATTTTCTTCAAGATGCCTGTGATCTATTATACCTGTTCTATTAGGCTGGTAACAGACTGATACACTCCACACATTTACCATCCACTTATCTGTCAACTGTCAGCTAATGTCAATTTTATGCTCCCGAATTCTAAAATACGCATGGCTTCAATAAACGTAAATCTCGTTGTGCTAAAAACTGAAAAAAGGTGTACTTTAATTTCACATACATAGGTATATTAAGAAATAACTATTGGAAGGGGAAAATAAAAGTTAAAATTTTCAGGCCTCTGTTATCCTGAGAACTGAGACTTAAACCTCCGCCCCTGATTGGCGCCGCGCCGTATTGCGCTGGCGCTCCCGCATAGCACAGCGCCGCGTCACTGTTGGGGCCGTCGCGACGCCGCATATGTGTCCCCGCGAATCCGTGTTTCGTTGTTCAGAGTTAGTGTTCGGCAGCATGGAGGGCAGCAGGCAGCTGCTTCGTCCCAGACTGAGTGAGAAGCTGCGGCCCTGTTTCGGGTGCCGTGAGCAGGACGCTGCCGATTAGGATGAGACCTGCAGAGGGCAAAACCGCCAGGATGGGGCCCACGTCGCTGCTGCTGATGCTCCTAGCATTGGTGGCAGTGGCCGCTGCGGACCCACAACACGATGCATTTGACTCAGGTAAGCAACACTACTGTTCTGTATCTACATCTAATACGAGTGACCAACCCGCGGCATGCGTGCCACACAACTCCAACAGTGGCACGCGGACACCTATTGAAGAGAAGTATATCACCGTTAGAAGCTTTATCAGAGCTCATAACAACCACAATTTCCGAATCACCCGTCGTCACCCCGTAAAGTGTGGCACGCATAATTTTTCACTTATATAGTGGAATTTGTCCAGTTATATGTAATAACTTTTGTTCAAACCAAATTTTGTAAACGTCCATTTATGTTTTAGAGCTGTAGCGACAGCTGTTAAAGAATACTTTACAAAATACATATCAAAGGAGGTATATTGGATTAGGCTGAATTTGCAGTATGTTGTACATTACGATGTACCGATTATAGACAGTTTTACATCAGATATGGAGACTGCAATAGAGTGAAAGAAATATACGAGTCTGCGGATGTTATAGTAGTAATTTTCATTCAAAAGTACTTGCACGTTGAAGTATACAGGATGTCGCAGAAATAACACGGCAGAATGACACGAGAGGTAGATTGGCTTCAGATCAGTCAGATAAAATCAACTTGACCTTAGTAAAAGTTTTTCTAGTTTTCGAGATATTGTCACTAGTTTTTTCAAAAAAATCCCTACTTCTTGCTCCTTTTTTGCCTTTTATAGCTATAAAGAACTTCTAACTTATGATTTTTTTCCTGGGCTACCATCAATAGTATTCATTTCATTGAAAACTAGCACGGTATGCTAAAAGTTCCTCGTGATGACATAATGCTACCGACCGAACAGTGAATGTGAGTGCGAGATAGTGAATGACATCTTTAGGTCGTTTAATTCCTTAGTGCTTTGGATACAAAAGATGGCTGCACTTATTTATTATTAGTAGTAGTAGTATTTCTCAAGTATTACGACTTCAATGACAAAACTTGGAATTATTCATTTTTTAGTAGAAAAAACCTATAAATGTTATACTATTTTTGAAAGACCATTAAATAGACTAGTTCCTAAGATCATTTGCTGATTTAGTCTGTTACATTTTTTTTGTCACAGTGATTAGTCAAACTGTATTAAAGGTATTCATATTGAAATAAAATGTAATAATTATTTTTTTTATCACATCGTGCTAGTTTTCAGTGAAATGAATACACGGTTGTCTCAAAAAACTCTTAATGGTTGCTCAGGAAAAAAAACATAAGTTAGAAGCTCCTTGTAGCCATAACAGGCGAAAAGGAGTAATAAAAAGTAGTGATTTTTTGAAAAAACTTAAAAGTGGCAATATCTGGAAACTAGAAAACGTTTATTAAGGTCATGTTGATTTTATCCGATTGATCTGAAGCCAGTTTATCTCCCGTGTCACACTGGCGTGCTATTTCCGAGATACCCTGTATATTTATGCCATATGATCTATGCGATTGCTCATCCATCTCTTTCTCCATATACAATCCCAAAACTCGTGCATGTATTCAGTAAAAATAAGTTCCAGTTCACCTTGGAAGGTCCTATATGTGTCAACAAAGACAACGTATGTCAATACATGTGCCTGTATAAACTACGATTTGTACTATTATTTATGTCCCTTAATACCAGACTGCATGCCAGATGTTTGACAAGTCGAAGGAATCTGTCATCTTTGCCGAAACAAGTACCTGGGTTCTGCGGCGGACACCTCTAATACTTACCTTTAACCGTTCATAACTTAGAAACTGTCCACTTTGTGCCCACGGATGCTTTTGATCAGGAAATTATATTACTGAATAACTGCAAATTCAGCCAAGTCTACTGTCCTCTTGCCCGGATAGTTTGTGTAGTATTCTTAGTTATTTCCTTCGTCCATACATTCTCGTTTTATATCCCAACCCAGTTTGATCTATTGTTTTGGTTCCATGACCAGTATGTCCCACGCAATATACCATGTTACATGGAGTAAAGACCAAAAATTGATTATGTTATAAGAGTAGTTAGTCTTGTGATTGTTTGCAAGTGCTGCTTTGTTCAAAAAATGCATGGCTACTGTGCGTGAAGAGAAGCTTTTATTTATTTCAAATCAGTAAATAATCATCGGCCGTTTCATATAATAATCTACTGCGGGCAGTACCCATATCTATTCGCGTATAAAGTGTATAGGGTGATCTATAATAACTATTGCGCCAAGAAGCAACACTACATGATAAAGGCCCTAGTAAAATACCGCTCGTTAAGGAGATACAGGGTGGCGTTTAAGAGCCCTTTTCTTGTTTTCTACATCCTTACTTTCCCATTCCGTATACCAGCCAAATAATTACCGCCCATTCACCAACATTCTGTCCTACTGCAAAATTGAATCCTCACAGAATAAATAGCAGTGAGTGGTGAATAGAATGGTAAAATGTCGGTACACTATTCCCGTCACAACAGTTCAACAGGAATAAGGGGCAATTAGGTTAATGCGCTACCCTTTAGCCTGAAGTTTTTCGCATCAAGTTGACAAGTCAATTTGAAATGGTGGGTTCATGCAAGACTTAACTTGAGAAAATGAGCATTTAATGTGCATGCGCGGCCCAGATTGCCAGTGTAGCAATGGCGACAACATCAACATTAAACACACTAATAAAATCATATGTTTAACGTCAAGGTAGCAGATAAAAGAGTGTTTTGTGCTACGAGGAATTGCGGACCGGCCTCGACATTGACAAGTAGCCCCTCCCCACACGCTTGCGCCAGTGCACTGGTAATCAGTCACAGAGCTCGGATGATAGTCCAGGTAATATCGGAACATCCGTTCCGACAACTTTTCTCGTTACGATTTTTGCATAATCTGATTCAAGGGCCCCTGTTAACGAATCTGCATGTGACTAGGCCCAAAATTGCTACAAAAATTGTTATTAAACAGATTCCAAAAAGTGATTTGTTCGCTTTGTTTAAAGTATTTTGCGGTTTTTAGGACATTCTGAACAAAACATGAGCTTTAGAACTTTTCTCTGGACTTGATGTATATACGCAATGTAAATGTTCAAAATATGCCATTTGCTACCCCAAAAAAAATATGAAAAATGAGTATTTTGATGTAGCCAAATCTCACACAAGCTTCAACCGACCAATAACAAAATCCCACAGATTTTAGGGAGTACAGTTGTTGTAAATATTTGCATAGTAATTGTGAATTGAATGCGCGCACAATGTATGTCAATGTCTATGTGAACGCGAGAGAGAGAGAGAGAGAGGTGAAATATCTCTCGTGCACGCTGAATATACATTCAGCGTACGCTTGCTTAACAATTAAATACAAAGGTTTATAATAACAGTATTGCCTAAAAGGTATCGCAATTATGTTAATGGTTATTTATGAAGCATGGCGACATTAACATTTTAGTTTTTTCAGTGTCGCAAAAGCCCTTGTTTGTACTTTCCCATCTCGTACAAGATCAAATATAGATAAACATTGTCAAACATCGTTTTGTTTCGGAATATCCCAAAAAAACGAAGACTACCTGGAATGAAGCAAAAACATTAATTCTTGGAATTTATTTGAAAAAGTTGTTCAAACTGTTAGAGACGCAAGTTGGCCCTGACAACATGTAGATTTGTTACAAGGAGGCTTTTTCGAATAACATGCCAAAAATCCAAATCCGAATATTTCCCGAGCAGATGTGAAGATATTTCTTGGACTATAACCTCGGCCGCAGCGCCACATTTCTTGGCTGAAAATCTGGTGGAACTATAAATATTGAAAGTATATTGACAATGCATATCAGGAATGTGACTGCGATTTCATTTGTTTACATTACGAAATCTGACTGATGATCTTCCCGATATTGAAGTAGTTCGATGATCATAGATGCATAACACATCCTCAATAAAGGAAGTATTTCTTTCATCAGTTTGGCTAGTAATGAATTCCAGGATAATAAAAAATGTATAATTAAAAAAATATTTATTGAACAGTCAAAGCAATAAAAGAACAAATTCTTCATTACAGAACTCTGTACATACATAGAAGTCTAGTACCCATCTAGATTTTCCTCCATATGAACCTGATCAGTGCAGTATCATGTAAGCACTATCTATCGTTAATTGATCATGTATATTTATCTCGGAAACATAAATACTAAAATAACAAAAAAATACATCTGTTGTTAAAGGACTGACTGGAATACAAATACAATCTCTCTGATATGTGTATCAAAACAATTTTGCACACACTGTTAATGGGTGAAAGCAAACAAAATGTGTACACCTGTTTCATAGTTAGTGACAAAGAACCATTACACTGTTCTGTGAGGTTTTAGAAAAACATGTAATGGGGGGGGGTGTGGTATAGATTTAAATTCTCTTTTTTTTTCTGCAACATCTACACCACTGGTACAGTCTCAGAACCAAAAATATTTGTATCTATCAGCTAATAAAATATAATTTCAATATCCTCTATCTTGGTAGAGAGGGCAATTTAGGACCCACGTTTATTTTTTTAATGCTATTTTTTTATCTACTTTATGCTGTAGCAATACTGATATGCTTTGCTGAAACTAATACTATAGCCCTTTGTTATGGGATGAAGTAAACATGACCACTGACTTCATTTATTATAATTTTTAACATACATCTCTGATTTTTGTAATCCTGCCGCCCCGATTTTCAGCTCTAAACTGTCATGCGTAGCAAGGGTAAATCATTTTTCTTCCAAGTACAACTACCCTCGAACCATTTGCCCAAACAGCAATATAAAATCGATCGAACATCTCGATATAAATATCGACTATCGACGTTTGTACAGTATCGATGGCTCGTACCCATCTTCTAATTCCAGCTGTAGAGATCAGCTGACCAACGCTACTGATCCAATTGGTTGGTTCTTAAGGAAAAATTTAATATATTGAAATTAATTTTAAGAAGTGACCTTGAATTAAGAAAAGTACCATAACCTCAATATGTTTAGTCATTCCTGCAAAATTGTACAGATTTGAATACTTACTGCAACGTCATCATTAGGCGCTCCTCTTGCGATGTCGGATTGCGTTCAGGTGCCTTCAGCAGGTACCTCTTCAATAAAGTCAGGAGTGAGGGCCATCCTCAATTAGTAGCACAAAAAACAAGTCCAACACAGGAAAACACACCCGAAAACGAACACCAGAACAAATCTCTACCGCAAATTCGCCAACAACTCAAGCAAAAACAACAGATAATTCACCGCCTGGCTTGGCCCGTAAATCGTCGTGGAATACGAGACGCCACAGCATTATTATAACTACGCCAATATGAGCATAAGACAGTATGTAAAGGGCTACCCAAGGCTAAGACGAGTTCCGAAACCACCCGAATCATATCAAGCAATGGGTGTGACGTCACCAAAACGTTTGACCACCACTGGAAATCACTAGCTAGTTACTATCGGGCGGCGTAACATGTGGAGGATACTGGTGTAGAAACAGCTGATCCTTAAATTGGATAACGTTAAGTCGTACATGAACCCAACATAAGAATTCATCTGGATATGAAAATGTAGCCGGATCATGCATCCTTCGTCAATAAGTCGAGGCAATTAACAAAAATTCAACTGAGACAACTCTTGAGAAGACACAAGTTATATTGATTCATCCATTTTTGATTCATACATTCTTTATTTCTTATTGATCAATATATGAGTTCATAAAATTTCACTTTTACAATTACAAGGTAATTCAGAAAAGGATAGCAATATTATTGCAGCATAAGGTAGATCGGAAAGTAACATACAAAGCTTATACACGGGTCCTAGAATATCTTCCTTCCAAAGTATAGGGTTTTTATCGAATCGAAAAAAATTATAGCTTGATAGTGTATTAAGATATTGTGACTTTAATTTTGTATATGTAGTATTAAGGGTACAGCCGATAGATTCAAACATTGGGAAATTGTGAACCCTAAGAAAAAGAAAGAAATCTATTTTCTACGCCACTTACTTTTCTGAAGCATCTATTGGATGTTTGATGGAGCTATCTGATTTTGCGTGGATATTTTTATCAGACTACTCCTTTTGGAAAAACATTGGTTTATATATACTAGTTGTTTCAAATTCGACCCTCACCAGAGGAGGTCTGTCCGACTGATCGATGACTCTTCTCTAATAGACAGTCTCGGGACCTTTTCGCACCGGCGGGCCGTCGGCGTTCTAGCTCTCTTCTACTGCTACACCAACTGGCTTTACTCCTCAGACTTCTCTCACATGATGCCGCCGCGCGATATGACTGCCAGACAGACCCGCCTGACTTTGGCATCCCATCCTGACCGTGTCGATCTTCGTGCATCCAGAACTGGCCAATACTACGGCTCCTTTGTCCCGAGGGTGTCGAGATTATGGAACAATCCACAAGAGGAAGCTTTTCCTATTTCTACTAACCTTAGGCAGTTCAAAAATCGGATTAACAAATTTTTTGGGATCATTATAGCAGCCGCGGTGACCCGACATTTAGGCTTCTGCCTGCGCGGCTGCTCCGGTATAAAAAAAGCCGCTCCAATGCGTATTTAGATAGCTAACAAACTGCCGCTTAAAGAGTTTCGAAATTCAAAGTACTTCCGGAAAGAGATGGAAAACAACCGAATTTTTCCAAAATTGTTTTAACTATCTCCTGACTTTATTTGTAGTGGGATTCCAAAATATATTGCACATTAATATTGCCATTTTTTGTCCTCTGCAAGATGGCACAATTAGAATTTCAATATGTCGTCCAGCATCAACTTTTTTCCTCATAATTTACGTTCCAACAACAAGTGCATGGCCAACTGAGAAAATAAATAGCTGAATTTAAAAAAAAAATCAATTTGAATGTACAAAATTCCAATGTAGTGTCTATATGAAAAAAGTTGCTGATGGAAGTCGAAAGAAGAAACCTCGAATTGAAAATTTTGAACTCTTGTAGAAGAGAAAAAGTCGCAATAAAAACATATAATTCACTTTGATATCTCATCTCAAATAACGTCAGGGAAAAATAAAAACGATTCAGTCATAAATCATGGTATATGAAACAAGGCCTACCTAGGAAATTCCACTTTTTTAAATAACTAAGGTTTGGCAATATCAATAATATATTATACATTTCTTTGAAACCAGAATTAATAACTCTATCCACAAAATGTCATATTGAAATTCTAATTGCCATCTTGAAGAGGAGAAAGAGTGGCAATGTTAATGTGCAATTTATTTTGAAATCCCACTGCAAACTAAAGTTAGGAAAAAACTAAAACAATTTTCAGAAGCACTTTTAATTTCGAAACTTTTTTTTTCGAAACTATTCTTAGTTACCTAAGCACGAAACATTGGCTCCATTTGAGGCCATAACGAAAAAAATAGAAATCGCTCGAACTTTGTTTTATATCATAATTTTACTATATTTATAGACTTCCAACCCCGATACACCTATTAGACAAAATTCACATATTATAGGGTAGAAAATAGGTTATGTACTAATTGTACAGACCTATTTGACACACTTGATCCGTTTAATTTCCCTGCTATACATGTACTTTTTCGTAGAGGATTTAACATAAACATGCTTCTTTCGTCCGTCCAACCAAAGACAGCCAACCATAGATAGCTGTTTTGTGTTTTTTTGCAACTCATCAGCTTATCCTGTGGGACAATGAACGAAAGCATAGCAACTATCCTCTATCCAGGATATGGCGTCTATGGCGCTGTCTTATTTCGATAGGGACTAACTTATGCTGAACATAATCCTTTATAAACTGATCACAGCGTTGCGTAAGAAGTATAGAATCAACCTACTTCACGCCTTTTTTTTTATTTTTTCGCAAGTTTCAAATACAACAATATGATTTTTTTATATTGATCAGAAAGTGCATAACAAATCTTATAAAATCGTTAAAACTGAAGAACCATATCTGTATTCGTGACGGAGCTATAATAAGACTCAAATTATAATTTTCAAGTACTACTGGAGAAAGAGATGGATTTATACTATGAATATCTGTGTAAAATTTAGGTTTACGATTTTTCAAAACCGCTAGGGGCGTAGCTATCGCCTAATATATGAAAAATATTGTTTCTATGTTTATACGTGTATTGTGTCATATTGGTTCATTTTGCACAACTATTCATAGCACAAATCCTTCTTCCTATCCAGCAGTACTTAAAAACTGCAATCTAAGCCTATTTCATTCTCCATTTTTCACCATTTCATAGGACTTTCCAGTCTATCTAAAAATATATATATATATATATATATATATTTGTATTTGAATCGGTACAGCCTAACAGAAGTCAAGTGCACGCACGCAGCGAAGAAAGGCGACTCACCGCGCCCTCCCACATTCTCCTCTCCGGCCCTGGCCTACAAACGCCCATTTTCTTCAAATCGAAGTTGTTGCAGCAACTGGGTAATACATGGGGAGCAAGGTAGCTACTTACTTCGACGAAGCCTTCACATAATTAACGGGGCTCCTACAATCACGAGCACCATCTGCTGAGGTAACGGGGGGGCGAAAAGGAAACGAGGGTAGGCTGGCCTTAGACGCTCGTCGGCGCTACTCTAAAAGAGGAAAGGATGACTGCGGGTGCGTACCGAGGTAAATTTTTATAATGACAGAGTCGGATTTCGATTATCTATCTAGCCTGTAAATCGTTTCCTATTGTGGTACAAGTGATCATTTAGTATTGTTCTACCCTTGTTACTGTTCGTCGATATTATGTTGTTGAATTGTTGTGCTGTACTGGTGTGATTGTTCTTGAGTGCCTTTTTTTATCAAGATTGATAATGGACAATAAAAGGTCATATGCGACAATTCTAATTACGAATGCAGTGAGTTTAATTCATGATGAGGACAACAATAGTGTGGAGCAGTCCAACTCTATAATCGCAAAATACATTGGGGTAAGCGAATAAATTATTGCAAGAATAGGTGATACCATAGAAGATGTGCTGCAGCTGTAGTGAGCCACAATACCGAGCGGCCTGTCTATGTGGTCCAAATACATTTGCGTTCTAAGCTTAGTCCAACCTTGCTTATCGCTAAGATGGAACAAAGACTCAAACGCAAGAATCTTGAAAAGAAGCTCAGGCCCAAAAAACCTGATATAAAAATAACTAACAATTCGGATAGCAATTCCACAGAAAATGAATAGTTTTATGGCGAATTCTGTCAAAAACCTGACATGAACGACATTGATTTGGAGGTTGCTAAGCAAGAATTTTTAGGGAAACTTAGAAAAACTGACGACGAGATTTTGCAGATCGAACAAGACACCAAATCACAGGACTGTACTTTGTGGCGTCTTCATCGGAGGATGAGGTTAACAGCGGCTCGATTTGGTGAAGTTTGTAGAAGAAGGCAGACAGCAAGCTGTAAAGTTCTAGTAAACACCATTATATACCCAACAGAGTTTTCTAGTAGGACAATAAAAAAAGGCAACACAAAAATCATGGGACACGGCAGTTCAATCTTGTGGTTTGTTTATTGATCGCACACATCCATTTCTGGCAGCATCACCTCCATCTATCTATTGTAGACAAGACATGTACTTAATCCACGTATAAGCCTACCTGTTTATTGCTTTGCAAAAACTACCTAACTGTTTCCTCTTATTTTGATCCCATGAAATATTTTTATGATCCTCGTTCAATTGTTACCATCTACCACATGACCCTTGTAAACATAATTGTGTTTATTGACATGAATAAACGAATTTGAATTTGAGTTCTTGAATTTATTTTAGGAAAGATATAAAATTATTTGAATACATTTGCTCTTAGAGGGAACGCACCATCTGTCGCGTCGCTTGGACTGGCAGGACGAAACAGTAGATGAATTTCGCCCAAAAACAGATTTGCACTTCACAGCCTCCGTTTCATTTTTATTATTTCCAAATGAAACTCTTGCAGCGTGTTATAAACAAAACGGGGTGCCAGCGATCCACCTTTTCGATTTTATCCTCTAGGATCTTTTTAAAATATCAAGAAGTTGAGCACAAATAGTAAGCATTTCAGCCCACCATAATTCTTGTACAACGACAAAATTTTGTAAAAAGCTCTGATAGCACCCTAGACAATTACGTCCTGCTTATATCCAGAAAAACATCACAAACTGCAGAACACAAATTGAAGGTAACGGCGAAATGGTTACATTTCACGGGTCATGAAATTCAAATGAAAATGCCGGTATAAAATCTACCAAAATATCATTCTGAAAAACATGTTTCCTTGACATATCGATAATTTTAAAGTTCCACGCTATATTCCCCTATACTTGACTGGAGTGATATCCCTACTGTCGATAGTTGCGGATCTGTTGGCTCTTGGTGTCAAACCTATAGAGCAGGTACCGATTTTTTCAAATCGTGAGCACATTATTCGTCGGATTTTCGATACTTAAATTTCCTGTAATTACTTCTAAATAACAGAACGTGTTTCTCTGATTTCACCCCCCCCCCCCTTTTTAAGCAGTACAGTTTTTTATGTCAATGATTAAGAACCCCTGAAACGTCATAAACGGAGTTTCAGCAATTGTTACTTTTTCTTTTTTGCCTATAGTACCGTTGCCACTGGACTAAAACTACAAAGCTTTGGCATACTATAGTAACCCCGTGTGGAAATTTTATAAAAATCCGAGCGGTAATTTCCAAGTTGATGATGAGTGATACAGTTTTTCGTGATGTAGATGTCATATGACTTAAAAAAACGTAACATCTAATTTTAGAAATATTTCGCGATTACAATACTTCCTCGCCAATGTGCGTGGGAAGTAACAAGGCTTTAAAATCGAGGAGTATGAGCGATCGCGATTATCAGTACCTATTTGCAGAACGACATATCTACGCGATATTATATGAAATAGAGCCACCAAATTATCTGAATACGTCCTTTCTTAGTCCGTACATTGCGCCGCACGAAACAGTAGACAAAATTCGTCCAAAATACTTTTTGTAGAGGTTTGCGCGCTTCGAAATTGACGCTTTATTTTTTGATATTTTCGATGAAATTTTCACAATGTGCTGAAAACAAAACTCCACAGGGTGCTATAGAGCCACTTTTTCATTCTTTTCACTAGGTTCTTTTTAAAAAAATCGCGAAGTAGAACAAAAAAAGTGCGCACTTCAACCCATCATAAAAATGGTGCAAAAACAAAATTTCAAAAAGTGCTTCTATAGCACCCTGGGCAATTATCTTCTCAACATACTGTATGAATTTCATTCAAAAATATTGAAAAATAGAGCGTCAGTTTCGAAGCAGCTGAACCCTTGTAAATGGCTTGAAACTCACTGCGTCGGATCCGCCTTAAGATCGAACATCACTTACAGGTAAGTTCGTTTGATCATGTAATTACGTTCCGGCCTCGTCTCGTTAAATAGAATAGATATGTAGATGTTCAAAGCGAGTTGCAACAACATACTAGTAACGCTCTGTAATAGTAGACGATAGGTTGTACACAACTTCACAAATTGTACGCTCTGTATGGTATGTGTCAACTAAATTTACATTTTCATTGTAACAACTAAAGTTAGGGCTCTCAGCAACAGGTAATACGACGTACATGGGTTCAAGAATAAAAATAAATAACGTAACAACATAGTTGTGTTTAAGGTGTGAGGACTTGGTTTACCCCAAATGCCGCTTGAGTAAACCTATTTTTTGGCAAAAGAAATTTGTGAGGTGTCTCAGAAAACGCGCTCCGGCCCGCCGCGAGTCTGAGCCTACTATAATTTAGCCGACGCAGAGGTAGACGCGTTTTATGTACATACTGTGTTTGTGACACACCTAGAGCACTCTCTGCTCAAACAGACTATATCCATCTATACAGGGTTATCCAAATTAAGTGTCCACCATTAGTAACTTTGTTATTAGTGAAAATACAAAGTTGTTTGAATTAGCAAACTAGTAGCATTTTTAACGCTGGTAAAAATGAGAAATAAAAAAAACAATTGAGAGTCGTTATTTTGATTTTTTTCAGTAAAATAACATTTTTTTAAATGGAAACCCCTGTATATTATATTTTTTTCTGTTAAAGCATCAAATTTTAAACAAAAAAGCTTACAATAACTTTTCTCCTAGGTTACAAATTGTTGAAGTTATGGCCTCCAATCTGAAACAATTAAATTGTATCGACAAACTTTATTTTCAACATCAACTTATAATCTTACAAAATACAATAACAATTTTTTTTAAAGAAGATGCTCGAAAACACCACCTTATTCTTCAATACATTTTTGGGCACGTTTTTCAACTGCTCGAACTGTCTTAAGTATGGTCCTACCATCTATCTGGGTTATCTTTTCCCTAACTGCAGTCTTTAACGCGTCAAGGTTATCGTACCTTCGCTTGTAAATTTGGTTCTTTAAGTAACCCCACAAGAAGTAATCAAGTGGGTTTAGATCTGGTGATCTGGGAGGCCACTGTATTGGGCCATTTGTTCCTATCCACTGATCATTAAAAGTAGTACTTAGAAAATGATAAGTACCTCTGGAGTTGTGGGCAGGTGCGCCATCTTGCTGAAAATGCAGATGATGTCTACTTATAAGATCCAATTCGTCTAAGAAATTAGTCAGAATTTCTGACATAAATTCCACATATCTTTCACCAGTTAGGGTTCCCTCATAAAAGAACGGGCCAACAATTTTTGAACCAATTATATCGCACCAAACGTTGAAACTGAAACGGACTTGTGGGCCTCTTGGATGTACTAACAAAAGATTTTCTCTTGACCAATAATGGTGGTTTTTTCTATTAAACATTCCAGAATTTGAAAAATTTGATTCATCTGTCCATAAAAGGTAACGAAAGTTATTTACATTTTGGCGACAGAAGCTAAGATACCAATGGCAAAAAACAAGTCTTCTCTCTGGATCCACTGCCAAAAGCGTTTGAACTGGTCGGTACTTATACGGAATAAATTTGTATTTTTTTAAAATCCTTTGAACAGTACCATAACTGAAATTAGAGTCCTTGAGAATATCTGCTATTGAATTCTCCCGATAAGCTTCAAAATATCCAATAACTGCAATTTCCGTGGCCTCGCTTATTATGAATTCTTTTTTTGCCCTTGTTTTAGCAAAAACATTTTCGTTGCCCCTAAATTTTCGATAAAGTCTCAGAAAATATCGTTCATACGGTTGAATGCGAGCGGGATATAATTCACTGTAGTATTCTCTTGCTCTCAAGGAGGATTTTCTGCACACTAAATAGCATTCTAACATATCACACTTTTCTTCATGGGAGAACATTTTTCTTTAAATTAATGACACAATAAAGCTTATAAACAAGTATTTACACTAATGTTTGACATTATTTGATTTTATCATTGTTTTCCAAAGCCTTCTAGTTGCGAGTATGTCCAGTTTAACAATTTGTCGCTTATCTTAATGCTGTCAAATCGCGAACGCCATGTTGTTTTCATAGCCGTCTTAATATTATAATACTGCAAATAATTAAAAATATTTATCGTTATTTTGACTTTATTTTTGACTTTAGCGGAAAAGTCATTATGAACTTTTTTGTTTAAAATTTGATGCTTTAACAGAAAAAAATATAATATACAGGGGTTTCTATTTAAAAAAATGTTATTTTACTGAAAAAAAACAAAATAACGA